ACTGTCTCGATCATGACCAGCATAGCCATGTCGAAAGCGGAATCAGGCGCCATGTCTTTGCCTCTGACTTGCACGACCACGTAAGTCATCAGACAGAGCGACCTTGCGGAAGCTCGCGGACTGACGTATCAGATATCTGGAAACGATGACGATGCTCTATCAGGAAAACACGTTTGTCTTTCTCGATACCACCGTGCTAGTCGAACTGTGTAGGGAACGATCGCGGTTCAACATGGCTCTCATTCGCTCTTTACATTACTTTGTCGGCACCCGGAAGTTCTCTTGGTATGGAACGTCACTACCAGAGCTCGATATGATTCCGTCCCCTACCCACACCGAGAGATTAGAGAGTGCAAGCGAAGTTTTCCATGAATGTCTACCAAACCTTCAACAACTTTCAATATTCCTCTACGGCCCCATCCGTAATGCCAAGGACTACACCAATATGCTAGAGCACTTGCACAACGTCTATCGAGACCGAATTTCCATTAACATGAACGCGTTGGGAGTGAGCGAAGATTATTTATTCCGCCATCGTTCTATGCGCGCCAGCATCCACGTGCAAGGTCTCTCGAGACTGACCTCTTTCTCACGCATTCCATTATTGAAGGATACCAAGCGTCCGCATTATTACACTGGACCTTCGCGTTGGCCCAAAGTTGATGACACATTAGTCGAAAACTCTACTTGGAGGGCTGAAATGCTACATCTAGGATCTTATGATCAAGCAGAGGGTCCAAAGGCCCTGGTACATGTGGTACTCAGACCCGAAGATGAATCAAGGAGGATGGTAGGGCAGTTTGAACCGGCAATACTCTGGGATCTTATTCCCGACAGCTAGGGGAGTAAGCAATTACATCAATGCTGACTGGTTGTCTGTGCATGAACCTTCGACTTCCTGTTTTGGGCTCGCATACACGTTGAAGGAGAGTTGGACTGCCGAGTGGAGTCGGATGCATCGGCACTCTCCATCGCCCGTCGATCTGTACCCAGCAAGGCGACGTCAATGCAGACATGACGAAGGCGCCTGCCTGGTCAGGAAGCCCAATGATGCGCATCACGCGTGTTTCGTTTCGAGATGGCTGAGGCTTCAAGGCTGAGGCAGCCGATGTTCCCGATGCTTCCCACGTAACCGGTCCTTCTGCGCGTGACGTTATGTGGGAACTTGCCGGCAAGGCCGAACGCCCTTGTGGAAGCTTTGCATGCATGCCTCGGACAGGGAGTGTGGCATAACACGCCGAAGAGCAGGATGATACGCTTTTGTTGCAACCGCCTGTGCCACAGCCACAGGTGGTGCGAGAAGCCTCTCTGGAGGTCAAGTTCGCAGTGGGGCTCTTGTCTACATGGCGAAGTAGAGGCGGCCAAAGCGGTGATAGGGTCTTTGTTAGATGGAATCGCAATTTACCCCACGGCGATTGCGGCGCATGATGAGAGGAACAGGCTAGCGGGCTGCTATCTTGGGCAAGGTGAAGCATGGGGCCAAACAAGGACGCATGTGGCGCCGGCCAATGGCAGACAAGCCTCAACCCTCCGCCAGCCGCTGCCCTCGAACGCGACCGAGTATCACCTGTTGACGCTCCCTCGACACCACTCGTGGCCGTTTTGTGCTCCATCGACAAACGTAGACGCCTGCGCTGCGATTCACTCACTTGCTCGCGCCATAGTATCTTGTACTCCATTCGTGTTGTGTTCACCTTGCGACTGCCGCTGGAGACCCCCTCGCGCCTGCCGCTCCCTGACGCCCGTACCCACTCGTTCACCACGACTATAGCCGTCGCATTCACCACGGCGCAAAGCCAGCAACAATAGCCCGAGTAACAACAATACCACTGTTGTCGCTATACAAATACGTACGCAGCCATCGGACACGCCTCTTCCGCTGTCACCGCTGTTCAAGCCTTGCGCATCTCAAACACGCAACGCTCCACCCACGCGCACACGTCTCTTGTCATGCGCACGGCACTCCGATAGCATACGAACACCCACCTTTCTGGAAAGCCCTCCGTCCCCGGCCACCCGCCGCAATCCTCCGCCTGCTTAACAAAACTACCGCCCCTGTCGCTCTTTCCCTCGCTCGCTAGTGGTGAGCAGCCGGCCTGTCACCACCATATCGCGAATACTCACTCGACAACCGAAATTGCCTCCTCCTTTTGGCTACAACAACCAACCCATGTCCTAGCGACCAAGTCACTCCTTAGACGAACAGCTGGACTGCAGGCTACCGTACCGCTGAGCGGATACTTACATACACACATACGTACATACCGACTAATACCGAATCGCCAACATGGGGTGCTGCGGAGACCGCGAAAAGGGAACTACCGTGACGGAGGAGCAGAAGTGGACTTATATCGTAAGCACTTGAGCGCGAACACGGAAGCGCATCGCTAACTGTCTTAGAACTTGTCCGACTTCAAGTCTACATCTTGCCTCGCACCCTTCTCTTACGCCTGGCTGTGGATTCTCGTCGTCATCTCATGCGCCGTCTACGCCGCCGATGCCTTTACCGCCGTCAACCTCCTCGCTTTCGACAAATGGACTAGCCAGGTCAAGCCTACCGTGCCTTTCGACATTGCCAAATGGATCTTCGCCATCACCATTATCGTCTCCTACGTCTTTCTCGCATACCGATGGATCCGGGCTCTGCGCGTCATGCGGACAGGAAGTGTCACCGAATGTTACCTCGAGCCATTGGCTGCTATACTGCAGAGTATGCGCATCACAAAGACTGGCCAGGGCTGGCGCCGCTTCTTGGTCTTCGCAGAGTTGACCAAGAGTAAGAAGGGTGCCAACTACATCGCTCTCTTCGTATACTTCCAGTTCAAGAGCGCGCTTCTCATCATTGTCGCCCAGGGACCTCGCATTGCCCTCAACGCCATGACTTTGTACGCCGTCATGCAAGCGCAGCTCATACCCGTCGGCGAGCACGCGTCAGAAGATCGCTCCAACTTCGAGCAGTTCTTTATGAACATCAAGCTGATGGTCGAGACCGGCAACAAGCAGGAAACAGTCATCTACTTCACCATGTTGTTCTCTCTCGTCATCTGGGTCATCGCTGCGCTGGGTCTCATCATCGCTGGTATCTTGTACCTCTTCTTCCTCTGGCACTACATCCCCAAGGCTGATGGCAGTCTTACCAACTACTGCCGACGCAAGGTCGAGACCCGTCTGGAGCGTATTGTGGGCAAGAAGATCAAGAAGGCCATCGAGAAGCAGAACCAGCAGCTGAAGAGGGAGGAGGAGAGGGCCATCAAGAAGGGCGAATTTGACGCTTCCAAGTCCCGTCCTACGCTACCCAAGCTCGAAGGCGACGATGACGACACATCGACCGTCTTCTCGCTGCAACGATCCGATACGATGCAGACCACCGCGACACTGCCCCCGTATACCCTCGCAAACACACCTTCATACAGAACAAACCCGGAGCGATCGAACACCTCGAACACCTTCAACACCATGAACTCGGGCCGAAACTTGATGAACAAGCCGTCTTTGCCCACGCTAGACGAGCGACCTGGCATGCCAGAAAGGGACGCACAATTTACAAACTTCTCGACTGCCAGCTTCGCTTCAAACGCGCCAATGCTGAACCAGGCAGGAGGTATGGGCAGGTCGTCGCCTGCACCACAAATGCCACCTCTAGACCGTAACGGCACTGGGTACTTTGGCCAGCAAGACAACCTGCCATACCAGTCCGACCGACCTTTCACACCAATGTCACAGGGCAGAGCGTCCCCACTCCCACCACGTGGGCCCATGCCCCCTGTGGATACAAGCTACAACAACGGGCGATACGAGAACGATCCTCAACTCATCACTCCCCTCGATGCGCGGAATACACCACAACAAGCTCACCCCAACCGACCGTACCAGGAGTTCAGCCCCTACGACAGCCGTGGTCCTCAGATGGGCCCGGAGTATGAGCTGTCACCTGTCGATGTCAACCCCACAGAAGATATCTCGCAGCACTACTTCTCAGACTCAAATGGACAGCCCGACTACCAGCCACCTCAAATGCCCAGCTTGTTAAGAGCTGGCTCACCCGCCCCATCACAACCCATGGGTCTACCATCGCAACCACGCTCAGGTACCGCACCTCCACGATCTGGCACCGCGCCACCTCGAGCTGGTGTCCCAGCATCACTGCAATCAGCAATCCAGCGTCGCGAAGCCTCACAACCTTTCCCCAACCGAGGCATGAACGGCTCAGCGCCACCTCAACAACAACAACGAAGTGCAACAGCACCGATTCAACAACCAGGTTGGGCTCAGGGACCTCCTGCCCGTAGCTACACACCTCAGGGTCCCGGCCCCCAACGTAGCTACACACCCGTCTCCGGGCCCCAACAACAACAACAGCAACAACGCAGTTACACCCCCACTGCGCCTCGTGGCTACGACAACAGCTACAACTACTGATCTCCCTCATTTCACTTTATCTCATACAACGTTTGGAATCACCACATTCATGCATCTCACGGCGTTCACTTCTACTCTCCATCTGTCATCTTTGTGCCTGAGGCCACCCAAACCCCATTCTTTCCTTTTACAACTCTTACATTCATACGCACGACGTTCTCTCCTCCACGCCAATGTGTGAGTGAGGGGAATGTCTAACGACCTTTGTTCTGTTTTCCACTTTCGCTCTTTAGCTTGGTTTCGAGATACCCCCACCCGCATGGCTGGCCTCGGACGTCCTTTCGCTCTCTTTGTTTTTTACGCGTTCACCTGGAGGATTTGGTTGGATGATAACTTGGTGGAATGATTTATCTGGTTATGTGGAGGAGGGGCTTGTCTCTTGTGATAGATGAGGGGATGAGGAGATGGGATCTAGGCTTTGGCTTAGACATGTATAGGTAGCGTGGTTGAGTTACATCACCCTCAAAAGTGAGGACTGTCTGCGCTGGGAGAGGCGCGCATACGTGTATTATATACCCACTTCTTTTGCAATTCGTTGAAAGCAATGAAAACTTGTGCATACTCATATCGAGATTTTCGCTTCACTCCAACCAGATATCCTCCCGATGCCTGGCATCCGTCATCTCATTGAAAGCCCGCTCATCCATATCGCGAAACTGCAGCGCTCCCATCCGCCGATACACGCTTCCAATATTTCCTCCCATCTTCATGACTCGCTCTGGCGGCTGCAACATGAGTTTCTCGAAGGCATCTAGGCGCCATCTTTGTTCTCGAGACGGCTCTACGCCTGCTAGTGCGTTTTTGTATTCTTGGTACAGCTTTTCCTGCTCGGCGAACCAGGTAGAGTGTGGGATGAGGAGGAGACCTACGCCGGAGTACGTCTGGCGCGCTTGGGGGGTGTTGGTGGTGTTTGGAGTGGCGGATGCGGCGAGGATGACAAATGCGCAGTGTTTTGGGTCGATGCATGTAGTCGCTCGTGGAGTGTCGAGGAAGACATCTACTTCAACGGTGTCGGTAGAGATCTTGCTCGGGAAATGGAGACGGTATTGGTCTTCTTGCCCTCTGACGAGTCGCCCAAAGTTGATGTGGGCCTTCAGTGCCAGTGTTCTGCTCTCTAATATGGGTTCCTTGTCGCCTTGTCTGGTCTCTTCTTTGACCGCAAACCTAACGACAGCTTCATCATGATCTGTAATTTTGTATGATCGTATGGCCAGTCGGTGTTGAGGCACAACAGCACCTTTGATACTTGCCCATGACCAGCTGGGGATATTGACATCGAGCTCCGATATCCTCTTACACGATTTTGTATCTCGCACTCTCCAAGTCAGTTGCTCCTCGAGCGCTCCAGACCACATACCCACAGCGTATTGCTCGCTCATAAAATCGCGTAACAGTTTTGCGATACTCCAGATTGCGATCGTCTTGTCGCCTTGATTGGTCAGCTCGCATTCCGTGTAGTTTTGAACTGCGGACATCCAGAAAGTATAGGAGCTTTCGTTGTCGATGACGCCGACCAAGGCGTTCGATGAGACGGTGCTTCTGGCTAGCCGTCCTCTCCAGTGTCGATCTGTGCTCGCTTTGTGGTCGAGAGGAAAGGGAAGTCCTTTTGGGAATACTTCGCAGGCTGAGAGCGTGCCGCAGTCCCAAAATATTTGACGCTTTGTGAAGTGGAGGATGCGAGGAGAGAGAATGCGTTCTATCAATCGTTCAAGGTCAGCTTCTGGTGAGTCTAGATGGCCTGATCATGGGCTCTGCTTACCTTGGAAGACCCATGCACGGCCATATATGGAGGAGCTCAGAAGTTCCTTCTCCCAGAGATCCGCCGGAACAATCGTCCAGGCCTTCTCCCCCAAATGGTGACGCGCATCTGTACCTTGGTATTGTACCGGAAGGATTTGGCGAGGTATACGTTCCCTGAAAAGGCCGCCGTATGCATCCTTTGAGTCTGCTGCAACGATGTTACAATGCGAGTACCGATACACCCTATGCATGAGATCGGCCTCTTTTGCAAAGTCGCCGAAAGGTTCCTGAACGATTGCAAGACTATCGATCCAGATGTACCGCACCTTCAAGAAGCGGGTCACCTGTATCGCTTCTCGGAAGTTGTCTGGAAGCTCATCCAGGGAGATACCTGTGATCAGATGCTTCGCCATGTTCCACACGGTCGTAGTGAGGAATGACTTCTCTCGTGGTCCCCACGCGTGGCTCAACGTGCAGTAAGGGCCCTTGATTTTCGTTGTTTTGATATCAATTAAGCGGATGATGTTGTCATCTCCAGTGTCAACATCCAGAAGTCGTGTCGGTAGGAAGGAGAGCTTGGATCGCTGGTCGTGCCAGGATTTGCTGCAGTTTTGATGATCGCGCATACAAGTGTCCATCCATGTCTTTATTTGAACCCCGCCACTGAGTTCCGGATCTGTCGTTTCTTGTAAATCCTCCATTTTAGACACATACAGATCGGTTCTTGGTAGTAACCGGAAAGCCTTGGTTGGGAGGTTCGGGTGAGAAGACCGAAACCGTAACATCATCGATCCTTGTAACTCTCTGCCGCGTGGTAGTGCTCGCAGAGTCCAGTGATACAACGGCCAGTTTTCGGCGTTCAATGTGAAGTCCTCCATGTTGGCGTAGAGCGAACTGCAAATTGTGCATTGGTACAAAGAATCTTGTGTACCACTCATTGAGAGACGATGTTGCCCGGAGGATGCATCGCACTCCAATACATTGCTGACGCAAAAGTCGCACAGTCTCACTGGCAACTGCGCTGGAGCTGGCTTTGGTTGCGTGACTTTTCCTTCAGGCTTATGGCGCGGGGATATGCCCTGAGACGCTTTCGGTACATATTCAGCGCTGTTGATTCTAGGCGGCGATTGAACTAAGCCTTCGCCCTTGTCGAGGAATGATGCCTGGCCAAAGGTGCCTTCCAGCTCACGGATACGAAGGCCATCTTCGAGACTCATGAGCGGTGTCGGGGGAGGCCTGTCACTTGCTAATGTGTCGAATGTGCTTCCTAAGAGATCAGGTGTCTCGTCCGATGAGGATGTCTCGTGGAACTGATGTAATGGAGTAGCACCAGACCTTTCTCCTGCCGTGAATTTGACATGGTGCCTCGCCCGTTCTAGCGAATCATTGTACTTCTCTTTCACGTATGTAGAGAAGGCGGGTTTGCAGCATATATCCACCTTTCGGTCTCCAGTGCGTGGATCTGTAAGCCATCCATTTGCTGCGGTGAAGACGTCTTCAACAGACCTGGGATAATCTAAACTTGAACAAGTGATCTGGGCAAGGCGTATACACTGTTCTAGAGCTTCCAGAGAAATTCCATGCGAATGATCTGCAGCGGCACCAATTGCATATATCGGAGGCAGGCGCTCGGGTTCCATTTTGCGTTCGATGAAGTTCATCTCGGTGTCAAAATAAGCAATGACGTCCCTGGGCAGCCTGTCGTCAACTCGATCTATGCTGAAGGTATCGATCTGGTCGCGGGTAAAGATGTCTTCCAGATATAACAACGCGAGTGTTACGTTGCCACCAGCTTTTGGGCCAATATACTTAATAATGCGAATCGTGTTCTCGGAGTGAATATCGCGATAGTGCATGCTCAGTCTTTCTTCGAGCAAGCGCTCCATGTTGAAGTGACCCAACTTAATGCTGACGTGCTGATAAGGTTCTTTGAAACCATTCACTGGGCATATGTGAGGTTCTTCCAGCTGTTTCTTCTTTTCACAGTCATAACACAGATCGAACTCGTTGCAATGTGAACATTCCCACCAGAGCTCCAGGTAGTCCTGCTTGCATTCGTCGCAATATGGATTGATGGACATAGAGAACGCTGGAACCCTTCGCGTGATCATCACCTTGAAGCCGCTGGGTTCCAGAGCGGATAAGTGTGTATCGACAATCGACTGTAATGCTTCGTTGATGCGATCGTATCCGTCGAGAATGAGGAACTTGCAAGCACCGGAGGCAAAGCTCTGTAAAGCTCCGATCAGCTTCTCAATGCGCTCGGTTCCAGGATCACCGGAGCGACATGCGCGCTGATATGCTTCATACTCCGCGTTGGGTTCATTGCCGAGTTCTGAGTATATGAACTGAAAAAGATCCTCGATGAACACCAATGATGTCGACCACACATGTTGAGTGATGGAGACAGATGCGACAGCAGTTTTGGTCCCGTTTATGCCAGATGGCAGACGATTGGCAGCGAAAGCAGCTACAGTCGTCTGTCACGGTAAGCAAAGTCCTCTGTCAGATCCCTGAGAGCTTACTTTGCCACACCCAGGCTCTCCATAGCAGTGAAGTTGCCATGACCTACTACCTGAAGACCATGCACAGAAGGCTGGGGACGCGAAAAACTCGTCGAATAAGGTGGGATCATATCCGCTGCCATGTAGCGTGTTTCGGCTCAAGGCTGAGTGTGGTACGTGAGTTTGTGGCGCAAAAGGATCTGGGATGTCTCCAGCTGCGGCGTCCGACATTGTCGTAGGCGCCACGAAATTGCAGATGCATTCGCACGGAAATTGCCATCCATTGATACTGTTGTTTGAAGGCTGCAGCTGTTGCTTTTGGGGGTCAGGACGAACGACGGGTTCCAGTGGGTCGGCCCCCGCTCCATCTATGTCCGTGCACTTGGCTTATGTCATGCAACCGGTCAATTAGCCTGGCGCGTAATCCACAAATACACATCGTCCTCCACCTCCACACAACCTGAGTGTCAGCCGGCACGTCGTACAATGTAACGCTGCGTTGGTCGACTGTATACAGCACTTTCTTGTTCGAGGCAAACATCCGCCTAGTTCGCGAACTCGCTGCATCTTCTCTACTGTCCACTTTTGCCTTCTTCAACCCTCTCCCGTCCGAGACAGTTCCGCTCACGACTGGACGAACTTTCGTCGCACTAGACGTGCGCCTCTGCTGCGCTCACGATTATTTCTATAGGTGCCGATCTGGGCTTTGTTTGCTTGCCGAACTCCAGCGCGGACGAGGGGCTTCTATTACCCAGCTTTCGTCTACCGTTTGGGCCTTCAGCTAGCAACAGGGCTATGCAAACTCGTAGCCAGCTTCCCATCGACCTCGGATATATCGAATCAGGGATCAGTATCTCTTTACAGCCTACCGACTCCTTTTACCGCGTGGGACGGGCAAAAAAGGTGGTCTGGGGGCCAAGTGCGGCTGATATGCAAGATGACTGCTTTGTACTTCACGCATCAACCGACAAATCGACTAACAAGCCTCTAGCGCAATCCCGGGAAAGGCTTAAATTATCTCAGGATCTGGTTAACCCCCTGCAGTTTCCCGTTCACTATGCCCGTGGCAATCGGTGGCTTCGTGCCTTGGCAGGAGCAAGTGCTCATTCGTTCGATAGCAGTCGCTGGCTGCTTACCGTTCCTGTACTATTCCAATTTTATGGAGTCCCCGTTGAGGCTGCGCAAACCATCGCTACAAGTTGAGATCCCTGCCAATGGTCCCCACAGAGTTACACAAGATGTGATCACCCAAGTTAAAAAGTCGAGGAGACCCACTCTAGCTACTGACGCGACAACCCGCTTTGGTTACTGATTTCTAGTCACGCGTCATGTCTCTCGTTAAGCTCCTGGCGATATCGTGCCTATTGGCATACGGATGGGCAAACCCTCTGAAGGGCTCTTTCGCCCCTCGGCAAGTTGAGCCTCCTATAGCTTCTTCGGAAGCTGTCTCTACTGCATGCGGAGATATCATTGTCGCTGTAAACAACAGTCAGTACTACGTTATGCGATTGGAAGGAACACTTTGACTAATCAATGACAAAGATTATACACTCTTCCAGGCGTCATGGGTGTTCGAGTGCTTGCAGAGTATCCCCTTCAACTCAGCCGTTGCAATGCGCTTTCTCGATTACTACAACATGACTTTACAATTCCAGTCTACACTGGGATATCTCAAAGAGCCACCCGCGGGCTACCAACGAGCACCATTCGACGTCGACAAAGCTTTAGACGAGATAAAGCAGAACGTGACTGCGGCTGTTTACAACAACCAATATGAGTTTGAAGCACAGATTCAGCTCTTGATAAACCAGCTTCGTGACACGCACGTCATTCTCAATGCCGGAGCTTTGTCAGCATTCTCTTTCGTCGCCTCATTTGGTCTTGTAAGTGCGTCGATTGACGGCAAGCAAGCCCCGGAGATCTACCTTGATCAGGACCTGTACGAGGCTTGGGCAATCAACGAATACAAAGCGTCGCCTGTGACCCATATCAACGGGGTCGACGTTATCGAATATCTGGAACTCTTTGCCGAACAGAACTCTCAAGGCTTCTTGGAACCACATGCCGACTGGAACGCGATAATGAACAGCCCTGCGCTCAATATCCAGGGTCTTCCGAGTACATTCCAATCGGCAACGCTTTACCCCGGGAATGGACTATTTTCCGATGCGCTCAACTTCACCCTCCAGAATACCACTGTAGTCGAGACCATTTGGTGGGCCGTTTGCGTCGACTGTAAGGAAACAGGACCTCTTACCACTGGTGGCGATTTTTACAACTACTTTGTTCTCGGATTCCTGCCAGAAAGCTATCGTGAAGGCGAAGAGTGGTGGCCAACCCTCGAAGACAAGTTTTTCCCTTCAACGGACGACAGCGTTAGTACTTTCAACTTCACAGCAGAACTGGAGAATTATTGTATCGAAGGAGCCCTATCGAACCAAAACTGGTGCATGGACAGCTTTGCCGCATACCCGAATAATCCCATGACCGTCCAAGCCGATCTTTCTGTCATAGGAGGAGGTATTGTATCTAGCTATATGTTGGATGGAGCGTCCACCGCCATCCTTAGCATACCCTCATTCTATCAAAATGGTATCGATACGTCCAACTTTCGCCTAGCGATTAGCGACTTTATCGGCAACGCATCAAAAAGCCAGGCTTCCCGTGTCATTATCGATCTGCAACAGAACTCTGGAGGTCTCGTGTTTCTCGCCTACGATACATTCAAGCAGTTCTTTCCGAATCTCGAGCCCAATGGTGCAAGCCGCCAACGCAGCCATGAATTGAGCGATTCTCTCGGTGAAGCCTACACCGAGTGGTGGGACCGGTCAGGCCGCGACCAGGCAGATTCCTACAGTTGGGCGTCGAGCGAGTGGATCGTGACCAATCGTATCAACGCCGCTACTGGGAACTCTTTCTCATCTTGGGATGAATTTTACGGCCCAGAGGCCAGCAATGGAGACAAATTCTCGAGAAGTCAACAGTACAATTTGTCTGATGAGAGTTTCGACTATTCCGCCTTTGGCGACTTACCATACGGATACGATCCAAGCGACCCGATAACCAACACATCACCACCTTGGGCTCCTGAACAAATTGTCATCCTGACTGACGGTCTCTGTGCGTCTGCGTGCGCTGTCTTTGTCGAGTTCATGACCCACGAAGCCGGAGTCAAAACCATTGTCGTTGGCGGTCAGCCTAAGCCCGGCCCGATGCAAGCAGTCGGCGGCACTCGCGGCGCTGCCGCATACTCTGCCGACGCCCTTGATTTCGATTTTGACGAAGGACTAGAGGATTCGCCTGTCGAAAAGCCCGAAGTCGTTTCGCAACTGCCCGACCGAACGGATACAGGAATATGGATCAACTACGCCGGTTTCACAATCAGGAATCAAGTGCGTGGCACAGAATTCACACCCCTTCAATTCCAATACCAAGCTGCCGATTGTCGTATATACTACACGCTGGAGACGATCTACAACATGACTCAACTTTGGGACTACACAGCCCGTGCAACATGGGATGACCAGACTCTTTGTGTTCAGGATTCCACAGGATACCCGACGGCCCGCAATAAGACATCGGCCAAACCGCCCCCATCAGCCAGACCAGCCGCACTTGCAGTCTACGACTTCTCACCACCGCCCATCGCTAATAACATGACGTTTGCGATTCTCGACGGCCGTGACGAGAACAAAAGGAAAGCTGGTGAGCCTTACGCGCCCTGTAGTCAAGGCTGCCATTGTGATTATATGAGGCTGGCTTGCCCCGGCGGACTAAAAGATGTCCCAGCCTGTCTGCCCTCATGCAAGGCTACTAAGCGCGACCCACAGGGCGATTGTCCTGGGAAGAATAACTACTGCGACATATCAGAATCCGTTGAGCAAACGAAAGCTTACGCTCCAAGCACGTTCAAGCTCCCGAACAATTTGCGATATGACGGTTACTGCAAGTCAGAGAGAACGAATACAAAGTTCTGTGGGAAGCCAGGCGAGCGGGTCAACTAGGTACGCGTACACAATGTCCAAAGAAGTCGCGGCGTGATGAAACGTTATGTGATCTTGAGGCAACACAACGGCAAGCACACAGTCTATCCTGCTATTTCAATCATTTGCTAAATTGACATTTCCGTCTGTTGTAACTACAACGTTCTTGTGTATTGCCAGGGTGAAGATACTGCGAATCGCTTCGCCACAGCCGCTGCGCCTGTACAACAGGATTTCGGTGCAAAGTCCAGATCATTCGATCTAGGGAATTAGCGTGATTGAGACATAGCGCTCGCAAAGCCGGAGAAGGCTCGTAGTCTAGTCATTCTGCGATTGGACCATTCAAGTCTGCTACGGTTCGATCAGAGTCGACAGGGTGCTCCAAGATGGCGTCCCTTCTCTCAACACAATTATCTCGATCGGTTGAGGACTAACTTGGCTGCCATTCGATACTCATGGATTGACGTGACTCAGAGCTGTCATACTATAGCCCTTGGTGAATTAGCATACTACGTAAAGCAATGCTCATGGTCCATGCAGTAAACACAAAGTCGACATTAACCGAAGTAGCGAGACATAATGAGCAGTCGCCCCGTCGTCTAGCCAAAGATGACCATAATCAATCGCCTTATTGTTCGGTTTAGGACTACTATAAGCAATCGCCCTCTGATCTATCCCAAAACTACCGTACGCGTTTACCGTTCAACAATTACAGTGGAGAAATGCCAAGGTATCTTGACTCTCGAACAATTGCTCGGAGATAGACTGACGAACAACGGACGACTGAAACCTGGTTGAGCGGATATAAGTATCTGCTTCAAACCTCCCAATATGCATCACTCACAGCATCAACAACAGCCATCGGACTCACAAGAAACATCAATATGCCTTCCATCCGATCCATCAGTCTGACCTTGTTCGCCCTCCTCGCCACAGTACACACCCCTCTTCCCAATACTCTCACACCAAACCAAAGCAAGACTAACATCGACCTCAGACCCAAGCTCAAGTGAGCCTCGACGACGGCGGTACCTTCGGCGGCTGCCCCGGAGGCTGCTGCA